GGGTCTCCCTGAGCACCCATTTGAGTGAGTGGGAAATGCTGCAGTCATGACTCTTAATAGATCTACAGAAACATGGTCTAGTGAGTGAAACTTTTTTTTAATTTTAAAAAATACATTTGTGCATTTGTTTGTGAGTATGGAGAAGTCCTTCCTGGCTCTGTTGGTTACCACAGTAACTTGCATAGTATTTATGTCATGGTGAATGCTAGAACCTGTCGACCCCCCCCCCATTTCTTAGGTACAGTCCCGTGCTGGCAGGCATGTCTGAGGACACTGTGTAGCCCAGGGCTTGAGCCACACTCCTTTCCTTGTGTTTGATTCTGACCGCATATCAGGCACCAAATATCTCAAGTGTTACTCCATTGTCCAGTTCGTCTGTTTGGCAACAACTTTTCTTTCTAATAAAAGAAGTTACTCAGATGGAATTTCCAGATGTGACCAAGCTGCTTTTATTAGGACAATGGAAAGGCCCATGATTTTCTAAATACAATCAAGAGTAGTGTGACTTTGCCTCTGAAGTTTACAAAGCGTTGGATTGCTCAACTGGGAAATCGTCTCCCTAAGCAGAGAGAATGTGTTAGCACAGAATGCAGCTTGGAGAACACTGATGCAAAGCTTCAGTTTCGGAGAGAAGCCTTTTAAGTTGCAGAAATGTAATGGAAAGGAAGAAGGAAATTACTGTTTTACATGATTGACCAAAATGCACTATAATTATATCAACTTGAAACAAATTCCTTAGAAGGACTGATAACTCTGTGATCAGAATTAGTCATGTGTAGTGAAACTGAATACCACATATACTTTCTCTGCAAAGTGTGGACACACCATGTGTGAGATGCACAACAGAAGATAGCAGTGCACTTGCCTTGGCCTGTTTCATGGGCCCTCCAGCTACTCTAGCAGAGTTGGGAATGGTCAGGAGGTTTTACTGAGGCATTGGTACTTACCAATCCCTGCCTCTCCTTTTTGCATTGCTCATGCAGTGCAGTTTGTGGACTGTTCTCATGTTGTTCTCTTGACATTGCCTCTCCTGTTCACAATGAACACAGCATCACTCATCAGGCACTTAACTTCTATATGAAACACTCCTAAAGGATCCCACTGACCATCCGTTTTTATATTAGGATATATTCATTGTATAGGGGGATTCATTGTGACAATTCCAAATATATTTATAATGTACACTGGTTAGATTACTCCTACCATTTCTCCCCCTCAACCCCTTCCCCATCCTGCTTAAAGCAATTGCAAGAGGTTTCATTGTTGAATTTTGCATAAGTATATGAAGTCCATATCCCTCACCTTAATCTCCTTTGTTCATCATCCCCCTCCCACTAGTATCTCTCCACTCACTATACCTATATTACAGTCCTGTCTTTCATTATTAACTTCTAAGTCAATGTTCAAAGGCTGATCATCCTTCTTGTCTCTCTAAAATGGGTGGACAAAGTTTAAGGAAGATTGCTAGCCCTTCTTCCCTCCAGTGTCTCTGCAAAGTACAATTTTTGGTCAGCTTCAGCCCACCCATAGATAAATCATCTCCAATATGAGTGATACTAGTGTTAGTAAAACTCATTGACTGGCATCTGAGATTCCTCAACACTATTCTTAAACTTTATTCCTTGCATAGGTATTATCTCTTTACACATCTCCTTTACCTTCTGAAAGACAGTGCTGCTGTCTTATTTCTTTGTAATCCTCCAAACAGTGGAGTATTTAATACATGGTAGTACTCGAAAACTCATATTAACTGAATGAGTAATGGATTGCACATGTTATTTGTTGAACTCTGGAAAAGGAAAGAAATTACAAGTAGGGAGTGAAGTGCCTAGATTTCAATAGCCAGGGTAGGTATTCATGTTTGCCCAAGCCTGGGTAACTTGCAGGTGTCTTAGACAAAGCTAACCCCAGCAGTAAAAGAGGGGTAAAGGTAGATTTTCTAGGCATTTGGGATCTGCTGCTTTGGTTCATCTACTGACATTTTTACAGTCCTGTCTAGGAGCATGGCACACAAGTGTGAGATGGCCATCCAGAGATAGCTGAAGTGCTCACCTCAGGAACAGAGAAAGGTCAAATGCTCTATATTAGGCTTTGACTTTGTCTCCTAAGTACCTCCCCTAATGGGCTCAGGTCACCATCAACCCTGAGCAACCAACCTTGTTCTGCAAGCTGTGTTATAGCATCTTCCTGGAGGAAGCCTGGGACAGGGTGAGAAGGAAAGGTCTTTTTCCTTTCTTCACCATTAGAAAGGACAGCTTTCCCTCACTGGCCTTCATTCCATTCCCCACCTGGAATGCTTCCTCCTATCTGTTCTTTTTCCTTTTTAAATCCAGAAGGAGCAGCTCAAATCCCTTTCTTTTCCAGATACCCTCCCTGATCCTCCAGTACACCTGGACAACATGGTGTCTGTGCTACTTGACATTTCAAATGTTTTCTCTTATGTTATTAATTTTTTCTTTTATTTCCTTTTGAGAGTGGATATAATGCCTTGGATTTTTATATAGCCTATAGTATCATACATCATACAGCACACATTAAGAAAATATTTAACAGTTTGGGGGGAAGCGGGGCGGGGGGGAAGAAATGACCCAAACAACGTATGCACATGTGAATAAATGAATAAAAAAAAGAAAATATTTGATAATTTGGAAGAGAAGCATCTAGAAAGGAATTTGACTGATGAATCTAATGAAAGATTATTATAAATATTATGAAGAACAACTATGCACATGTAATACTTTTATGATATATAAAACTATTTGAAATAATTTTCCTAAAAGAACAATTAGAGAACAGTCTTGAGTTTCCAAACTACACATGAAAAAGTATTTCATACTCATCACTAAATATAGGTTACAAATATGCAAATGCGGAGATGGAGATGCTTATTTGAACTGGAACCAAAGTCATATCATGAAAATTGTTGTGTGCATTCCAGAGTTATTTGTGGAAAACCTGTGTGTAGCTCTCCCATTGTATTATTTTCTCTGTAAATTAATTAATTTGTACCCAAAGGATCAAGTTATCTGTATGCAGTCGTCCTGCATGGTATATCTACCTGACCATCAAATCTTGTTCTTGTAGACAGAACCTCTTACTGAGTCTTCCAGGGCAGTGGTATATACACACCAAATGCACCTCTGGATCCAAAACATTTTATATGATCTAGCTGTACTGGTCCATGGTCTTCTGATTAGCTCTGTACAGTTTCAGAGTGTAGTTCTTGTTCAGAAACTAACCTTCTAAATTGGTCTTACCAATACAGGTGTAAATTTGACTCCTAAAAAAAAACAGAGTATACAGAATACTTAAGACATTTTAAAGTTTGACAATAGTAGATTGTGGAGTATTGGTGAATGCAGTGAACACGATAAATGCATCAACAAAACTTTATTAAAGAGAAAAAAAGACTACACATCATGTGCATCCCTGTTGTTATATTTCTGTTGCTTTCATTCGTATTCTGGCATCATTCTCTCTCACCCGAACAATTGCATTACTTTCATAATTCTTCTTTACTCCCTACTCCCATTCTAGTCCGTGCAATCAGTTAGTAAATATTTATCTAGGGATTAAATTTGCCAAGAACTCCGCAGATGACTCAACTCTGACATCTCTGGACAGATACTGTCTTGCCCCAAAACATTTAACAACTCTTCACTTTATAAAACTGACTATAATTGTAGCTTTGCTTTCCATCTTATAATACAGTCATACCATTCATTTGCCCAAGTGCTTCAAGCAAAGCAATATATTAACTCTTCTGTACGATGTGCATCAGTTTCATCATAATTCCCTGGGGCCTACAACCACAAAGCACTTTATTGCTTTTTATGATTTCATTAGCATAGAACAGTTGCACGGGAGACATTGTGATATTTGCATATGTGTTTAAACTATGTCTTAGTTCTATTTACCTTCTCCATCATTCTCTCGCTTCCCTCTCCTCCCCTTCTTAGAACAATTTCAATAAGTTTCATTCTTCTGGCTTCATATATGGATACAAAATACATCCATCATAGTTACTCTCATTCCCCCTTTCCTTGTGCCTACCCTCTCCCATTGATACCCACCCTCAGAAAAGATTTATTTCCTGTACTAACTGCAAAGTGTTGGCTCTGACATTAAGGTCCTTAATCCACTTTGAGTTGATACTAGTACAGGGTAATAGGCATGGATCTAGTTTCAGTTTTCTGCAGGCAGAGAGCCACTTTTCCCAGCAGCATTTGTTGAAGAGGCTGTCTTTTCTCCATCATATGTTTTTGGCAGCTTTGTCAAAAATTAGGTGGACGTAGCTGTGTGGGTCCTCTATTTTGTTCCACTGGTCTTTATATCTGTTTTTGTGTCAGAACCATGCTGTTTTTATTGCTGTAACTCTGTAGTATAGTTTGAAGTCAGGTATTGTGATACCTCTAACATTGATTGAACAACTATTATATAGAGAGAACTGTGATTTTGCAAAGACCTCATTTCCTCATGAAGTGATTATAATAAGTTGTATAGTAATAAATCCCAATATACAATCCCAGCTCTTGCTCCAGTTGCAACCACCACAAATTCACAATCAGAACCCAAGTGAGACCATATTAGCTGCTTTATTTTTAGCCTCTATATTGAATGACCATCAAGCAACACTAATAAAGGTAAGAACTAGAGGTAGGTATTTGTTTCATAAGCATCTTCAGTTCTTAATTATACATTAAATAACATATAATATCTGTTATGCTTTCCACAAAAGAAAAAAAATATAAATTCCCCTGGGTGTATCTGCCTAGCTAAGAAACAGATGAAAGAAGTCTTTTGCTTTTATATTCTATTAAAATACAAAGAAATATACTTTTAGAAGCTTATGTCACACAAATAAAACAATAAAATCTATAGTAACGACCACAGTATTTTAGATCAATATGAAAAGGCTGAGTTTCCAAGACTGAAAAGTCAGAAAAACCCGTTGGCAAAAATCCTTAACTTAGATATTTTTTGTTTGATTTTATTTCTAGGTTCCAGATTCAGAGATGTGCAACTGATCCAAATAGTTATAAAAGCTTAGGAGACAGCTTTCGGATGATTTTCCGAACAGAAGGGTATGTATTATTTTTCATATATAGAGTCTTATGTTAATGTAAAACATTTTAATGTATTTCTACTTAACATGGTTTCTCAAGTTCAATGGTTTATTTTCCTAGTCTTATTAAGGAAAATATGTTTAGAAGTGTGCCTTCCTACTTTGTTATGTTTTTCTTCATATGATTAAAAGCCGAATACATGTACAGTGGAAACCACCAAAAAAGGATTTTAATAACCAGTTTGATGTCTAGAGGACATTTTCTAATGTATACCATTAAGACTTGTGAACATTCTCATAATTTAGGCTAACTAAACATAATAGTTTTTTTTTTATTTTCGGTAATGTAATGCCCCAAATGTAGTCCTTATTTGCACAATGGTTGAAGAATATGCAATCAAGTCAGATCTATGTCAAAAATTGATGCATCATCTCTGTATGAAGATAGCAGAATAAAATGCACAGAAAGCTGTTGAATAGGACAGCAGGGTGACAGAGAAAGAGTAAGGAATGGGGGAGTAATTTGATTAAAGTACAATATATGCAGGTGTGAATCACCTTGGCTAACCCCCCTTGAACAATTAATACACACTTTAAAAAATGAAGGACAGGAAGGTAAAACAGGTTCTGTGTGGGGATGTGTACCAGTGGGAAGGGGGAGTGTAAACAGAGACGGTGAAGGAAAGTAAACATGGTTGATGTACTTTGTATGCATGTATGAAAATAGAACACTGAAACCTGCTGAAATTGTTCTATAAGGGGGGGGGGGCGGGGAAAGATGAAGGAAAATGATGAAGGGGTGAATCTAATTAAGACACATTGTAAGCACATATGTAATGTCAAAATGAAAACCCCAGTACAACTCATATATGCTAATGAGAGTGTTTTCATAAATTGATGCACCAAGTTCATTATCATATCTACTAGATTATCAGATAAATTTTGTTTACGCAAGCTAAAATTTTTCTGATGTATAGATTCAAATGCAGTATAATTTCTAAATTATATTTTATAATATTAAATGTAATATATTTGTTTTTTGAAATTATTTTTATTAAAGATTGGTTAAAATAATACTTATTCAAAATTTTAACAGTAATGATAATAACTAGTATATATCTAGTCTCCATTATACACTAAGAATTCTCCTTACAACTCTGTAAAGTAGGTTCCATTCCAGTTGGATAGATAAAGAAACAAAGACTTAGATATGATAGAAATGTTCACTTATCTGGTAAGTGGTGGAGTTATGGCTTGAAATCCAGGTGTGGTTGGGCAAAGCCCATGCTGTTAACCATGGTAGCTCACTGCTTCCCTGACCAGATCAAGCTATAAATACTCGTCTACAAATCACTTATTTCACTTAAACCGATGTCACGGACACCTTCCCATGCCAGTGTGTTCTTTTTAACAATAGCATGATTGATGACTTACTTATCTATATGGTGCAATTTATTAAGTTAATCTGTTTGGTGAATTTTTATGTTGTTTCCACATTTTTGTTATTATAAATAACAATACAATATTCTTACACTATCTTTCCTCATTTGTGTATGTGTATTTCTGTTTTTATATGTTATATTTATATTTTAAAATATATTTTATAGTTGCATGTTTACATATAGTTTATAAATTGCTAGCTATGGGGTTATAGTATCAAATTCTATGCACATTTTATGTTATAGATGCTGACAAATTAATTTCTTAAAAGTATGTGCTGACTGGCTGAGAGTGAAAGGCTGGAAGAAGATTTACCAAGTCAGTGGTCCCCGAAAACAGGCAGGGGTAGCAATACTTATTTTGGACAAAGTAGACTTCAAATTTACTTTGATCAAATGAGATAAAGAAGGACACTCCAACTAATAAAAGGGGAAATACACCAAAAGGAAATAACAATTATCAACCTATATGCACCCAATTTCACCAATCATACTGAAGGGCCTAAAAGCATATATAGACCCCAACACAGTGGTAGTGGGAGACTTTAATACCTCCCTATCACCAATAGATAGGTCATCCAAACAAAAATCAATAAAGAAATCATAGAACTAAACCACTCCATAGATCAAATGGACTTAGTTGATGTCTACAGAATATTTCATACAACTTTTGCACAATATACATTCTTCTCAGCAGCCCATGGAACCTTTTCCAAAATTGATCATATTTTAGGGCACAAAGCAAGCCTCAGCAAATATAAGAAAACAGAAATAATTCCATGCATTCTGCCTGACCACAATGCATTAAAACTAGAAATCAACAACAAAAACAGCAGTAAAAATCACACAAACAATTGGAAGCTGAACAACACATTACTCAACAATGAATGGGTAGCTAATGAAATAAAAGGGGAAATTAAAAGGTCCTTGGAAGTTAATGAAAATGAAAACATGACCTACTGGAACCTATGGGACACGGCAAAGGCATCCTAAGAGGAAAGTTAATAGCCATGAGTGCATATATCAAAAAGAAAGAAAGATCTCAAATCAATGACCTAACACTACAGCTGAAACTCCTAGAAAAACAAGAACAAACAAACCCCAAAACAAGCAGAAGGAAAGAAATTAATTAAGAAATTAATTAATTAAGATAAGGGCTGAAATCAATGAAATAGAAACAAAAAAAAAAACTATACAAAGAATCAATGAAACAAAAAGCTGGTTCTTTGAAAAAATAAATAAGATTGACAGACCCCTGGCAAACCTAACAAAATGAGGAGAGAAAAAACCCAAATCAGTAAAATTAGAAATTCAAAAGGAGAGATAACAACAAACACCACAGAAATCCAGGAAATCATCAGAGACTACTTTGAGAGGCTATACTTTAATAAATTTGAAAATTTTGAAGAAATGGGCAGATTTCTAGAAACTTACAACCATCCAAAACTGAACCAAGAGGATATTAATCACCTGAATAGATCTATAACACAAAAAGAAATTGAAGCTGCCATCAAGAGCCTCCCCCACAAAAAAAAGTCCAGGACCTGACAGATTCACTGCTGAATTCTGTCAGACATTTAAAGAACTAATACCAACCCTCCTTAAACTGTTCCAAGAAATAGAACGGGAAGGAATACTGCCTAACTCATTTTATGAAGCCAATATTACTCTCATCCCAAAACCAGGCAAAGACACCTCCAAAAAGGAGAACTACAGGCCAATTTCCTTAATGAATATCGATGCAAAATCCTCAATAAAATAATGGCAAACCGAATCCAACAACACATGAGAAAGATCATTCACCACGACCAAGTTGGCTTCATCCCAGGGATGCAGGGGTGGTTCAACATACACAAATCTATAAATGTAATACAGCACATCAATAGAAGCAAAGACAAAAACCACTTGATCATCTCAATAGATGCAGAAAAAGTCTTCGAAAAGATCCAACACAACTTCATGATAAAAGCTCTAAGAAAACTAGGAATAGAAAAAATGTACCTCAACATTGTAAAGGCTACATATGACAAACCTACAGCCAACATCATACTTAAAGGTGAAAAACTGAAACCATTCCCTCTAAAATCAGGAATGAGACAAGGATCCCCACTCTCCCCACTCCTATTCAACATAGTACTAGAATTTCTACCAGAGCAATTAGGCAAAAAGAAGAAATAAAAGGAATACAAATAGGTAAAGAAACTGTCAAAATATCCTTATTTGCAGATGATATGATCCTATACCTTAAAGACCCAAAAAACTCTACCCAAAAACTCTTAAGACACGTTAAACAGCTATAGTAAGGTAGCAAGATACAAAATCAGCCTACAAAAATCATTAGCTTTTCTATACACCAACAATGAACAAACTGAGAAGGAACACATGGAAACAATTCCATTCACAATAGCCTCAAAAAAAAAATCAAATACCTAGGAGTAAATTTAACAAAGGATGTGAATTAACTGTACAAGGAGAATCACAAACTCCTGAAGAAAGAGATCGAAGAAGACTACAGAAGATGGAAAGACCTCCTGTGCTCAGGGATCAGCAGAATCAACATAGTAAAAATGGCTATCTACTGAAAGCAATCTACATGTTTAATGAAATTCCCATCAAAATCCCAATAACATTCATCACAGAGATTGAAAAATCTACCCTAAAGTTCATTTGGAAACACAAGAGACCACGAATAGCCAAGGCAATACTCAGCAAAAAGAGCAATGCTGGAGGTATCACAATACCTGACTTCAAACTATATTACAAAGCAGTAGCAATAAAAACAGCATGGTACTGGCACAAAAACAGACATGAAGACCAGTGGAACAGAATAGAGGACCCAGATATGAACCTATACAACTATACTCACCTCATTTTTGACAAAGGTGCCAAAAATATACGATGGAGAAAAGACAGCTTCTTCAACAAATGTTGCTGGGAAAAGTGGTTATCCATCAGCAAGAAACTGAAACTAGATCCATGTCTATCACCCTGTACTACTATCAACTCAAAATGAATCAACGACCTAAATATCAGGCCTGAAACTCTGAAGTTACTACAGGAAGGAGCAGGAAACACTCTGGAACAAATAGGTATAGGCAAAGACATCCTCAGTAGAACCCCAGCAGCCCAGCAACTAAGAGAAAAGATGAATAAATGGGACTTCATAAAATTAAAAAGCTTCTGCACAACAAAAGAAATGGTCTGTAAACTGAAAAGACCACCCACAGAGTGGGAGAAAATATTTACCAGCTATATATCAGACAAGGGACTGATAACCAGAATATACAGGGAACTTAAGGAACTAAACTCTACTAAAAATCAATGAACCAATTAAGAAATGGGCAACTGAACTAAGGAGAACTTTTTCAAAAGAAGAAATTCAAATGGCCAAAAAATGCTTGAAAAAATGCTCACCATCTCTGGCCATAGAGGAAATGCAAATCAAAACCACACTAAGATTCCACCTCACCCCTGTTAGAATAGCCATCATCCAAAACACCACCACCACCAAGTGCTGGTGAGGATGTGGGAAAAAGGAATCCTCATACACTGCTGGTGGGAATGTAAGCTGGTGCAACCA